TAGGAAGGACACAAATCTCCTAAAACACAGGTACAGGTTCTGGTTCCATTTGCAGCTCATCCTTTAAATTGTATTTACATCAGTTCATCATTATTAAGCTCATATGAAAAATTGAAGAAAGAGTGGCACACAAAAATTATATGTTTAATGATCACAAGCAGTTACATACAAAATTATGGAATGGAAAATGTGTGGAAAATGGAGAAAAATACAAATGATGATGTGGGTGTTTATTTCGTTGCCAGGGAAATGTGCGACTAATCATAACCAATAAGAAATATTCTGTGAATTCTCCTTTTCTAGTATTTACTATGTCCTTTTAAAAATACGATACATACGAATACTGGAATAGATAATCATTATTTTACAAGGTATTTTCTCCCTCCTTCCAGCATGCCTTCGTGGTATAATTGTATTGCACTCGGCGCATATTCGAGAGGTCCAGGTTTGAGTACTGGCGACAGCATTGCTCATTTTTCAAATCTCCAACATAATTATTAAAAAAAAAAAAAAAAAAAAAAAAAAAAACACTCGCTAATGACTCTACAACTTCTACTGATAAAACAGAAAAATTCCAGCAATCACAAAGCTTCTTAATAAATTAAAGAACAAAAATACCTTGAATTGATTCTAAATATCCATAACAAACTCACGAATCTTACAGTAAAAAGTGATTTCAGAAAATCAATTATTTAAAAATATTAATGGATGCAAATATATATATTCCTATCATAACCACACATTTAATAAAAAGGATAATTTATTTTCACCAATAGAGAAATTTTGAAATTCAAAAATAGCTTTTATTTTTCTATAACAATACACTTACCCAAGTGCAGCTTCTAATTCCTTTTGCTTCTGCATATTTGCATCATTGTACTTCAAAACTCTACTTTCAGGTACCCATTCATCCCAACTAAGAAGGGAAAAAAAATGAGTTAGCATAAACTTCAGGAAGCATTTTAGATCAACATAATAATACACAAATAATATTAATAACATACATTTTAACTTTAACAGCATGGTTGCTGTCATAATAGAATGAAAATGATTATTTTCCAAGCTCTGTCTCTGTATAATAAGATAAAAACAAAACTACATGATAAAAAGAAAATATTTCAATAATTCCCTTCCAAGTAAAACTTCATCTTAAGAAACACAGAGTTAAATTTAAAGTGAAAATTACCTTAGTTGGTAAATAAAATTTCATTGCAACTACTTAAAAGCAAGCTGCCATCATTGGACGAAAATTAAGGAGTCTTAAATTACCTTTCCACCACAAATATTATAGGAATTGATTAATACAGGAATAATCAATTCTTATAATATTTATCTCATCCTCATTTTTTGGGGTGGGGTGGGGGAGGGCTAGCAATAAATGATCTATAGTGAACTGTATCTAAGCATTACATGTTTTGAACTGTGGGTTCTTAGATTTATCCTTTCTATATTGTTATTTTAATTTGACATTACATCTTTTTTAACTATATAGTCAGATTTATTTTTCATTTTTTGTTCTAAATCACTTTGTTATCACCAGAGGCTATTTGGATACAAAATATGCCTTAACTGTTTCGAATACGGTAAAGAACACAAGAGCTTTCTGCCCAAGGGAAGTTGCATTTGCAGAGAACTTTACGACACAGATGGGGGAAGATCACGAAAATCAACCATGTAATCCGTTGGTTAACCTGGGATCAAACTCCCAGTATTCAGCAGTCTTAACCATTCAACCATGGTGGAGCCAAGATTCTTTCTCAGTACTCTACTCTTGCTAGCTCCAACATAAACATTCCTTGTAGTTTTGGCGGTTAATACAAATAAATTAAATTTCATCAAAATGACAGTTTTAATACTTTACCCTTAGCAACTAAATATTTTAATTGGCTAATACACAGACATTATGATTATTGTATGATGAATTATTTATATGTAGATCCATCAAACCATTGTTACACTGATACTGCGGTGTGAATCTTTTAACAAATCTTATATGAAATATCTCTGAATAATGCTTAGTGATAAAGTTTTTGCTTATTCTAACATATAATAAGGTTTTTTTACTCTGATGTCTGCACTTCTAACAAGCATTTCAGAAAAAATAAACCTTTTAGCGTTGTCAAATGAAACCTGAATAATTTATCTTTGATGCTACATCCATATCTGTGAAATAAATTCATTACATCAGTCTCAAACACTTTTTTATATTATTTACTTTTTGAATTATACTGTACTCAGACTTAAACCTTTGCTCAAATATTCACTATTAAACCCAAAACTTGCTGATATATAAACATTCAATGCACTGAAATATATGAGCGCTGCCAATGGAAGATTCGACATAATAAACTTAACATTTTCCTACTCCATTTCATCTCCTCATGTGATTAAGACCTGGTGGTTTGATTGGTTTTTCCAATGTATAACAAGGATAAGAAAAGCATTCTTCCCATTAGGCAGATGGCTACCGTATGCTTCACCATATTTAAACAATCTCATCACCAACTAAACCACTGCATTTTAAAATCTGTGAATATTATAAGCCTATTATGTTAAAGTTGTAAATAAACATCTGACTGTAAGAACTTGCAAATTATAAGAATAAAATAAACATATATACACTTGATTGATTTTCTAGATGGATTAAACGGTAGTGAGGAAATAACCAAATTTTCCAAACTATTTAAAAATAGTCTACACTGCACAATTTCTTTCAAACTAGACCTCTTATTAATATTGTATTGAAAAATTTTAATGTTTCCAGACATAAAGGACATACCAGAGATAAAAAAGACAGCTGGCAAAGTAATTAAAAATGATAATTGATTTAAAGGTTTGGAAATGAATACAGAAATAACAATTGGCTTTTAAAGGAGGAAAATAATATAGTTTTAATTTATTTTTCTAATAGTCAGTCAGTACTAGAAATAATTAGTTTATTAAATACAAAACTATGAAAAAAAATAAATCAGAGAATAATTCAGCAATTTTCTGTTAAAGCTACAACCATGCATTTTCAATCGTATACTCACAATATTTGTTCCCCACACATTTGGTTCACAACTAGATAAAAGGGAGTAATCATAAAAATATACAAGGAATATTGGTTAGCCTACATTTTAGGGTGCCCCTTGGATTATCACCAAGTTCTTTCATTTATGGTAACCTGAGTAGTTGAATCTTATGAAAACCCTATTATGACATCATTGGTTGCATGAATTTGACCAATGGGAAAATATTTGTAAGGGCTTCTTTCTGTGTTGGATGTCAGCTAGGAAGTACACTGCATATTGTGTGCTTTGCATCGTAAAATGTCTGCCGGTGGTAAACTGGGTGTTCAGTGGTATAGAACAAGAGAGAGTAGAAGTTTGTTTTTTGAAGTCGTTGAGGACAGAGGAAAAGAAACTTTGTCAGATGTAATTCAATGGAATTATACATGCTGTGTTTGTACAAAGGAAATGCATATGGTTGAACGTAAATATCGTTCAGATTGCTTTGTCGCAAGAAAGGTTCAAATGCTCACCATATAATGCATTCCATTACAAAGGGAACATGGTTTGAGAAAAGTTTTTTAATGCTATTAAGGAATTTTGTGTGCCACAGACTAAAGACACAAACATTTCTAAATAGGATAAGTGGATATTTCCTTTGTGTAATGTGTAGATGCCTTTCTTTTTTTATGTTATTTCACTGTTTGATTTAAAATGCAGTTTATTGAGATTATATATTTTTTCTTTGGCTGTAATGTAGAATTGGATGCTCCTTTGATTTTTAAGTGAAAATACATCTATGTGTACATGGACAAATTCAAGTCTGTGTGCAATGCCGAGCTTGTGCAATTCTCCGATTTTTTTTTTTTAAAGTTAAAACAAGTTGATGTGTACATGGGCACTGAGTCTGTGTAATTCTTTGACTTCTTATTTTAGGTTTGCGTAGGAGCGATTCTGCCTTGCTGGCTAATCGCCAAAAAATCGCCAAGGGCACCCTTAAATATATTTTTACTGGAATATTCTTCAGTTTCACAAAATCCTCCAAAAACACCACTCTTGAGGCATGAACACTCTTATGTTAGTAAGTTTAGGATGAGATAACAAAGGACTGATACTTACCTCTCACATGTAATTATTCACATTCTGTTGAGATTCATTTGAAGGCAGCTTTGATTAACTCGGTAACATTAATGAATCCTTTGGAACGAAAGACACAAGCCATGTTTGTGTTCCGAGCATAACCAAAGGCTACACAGCCATTTCAATTGTGAATCCCATATTAATTTCAAACACGATCTTTATTTGTGCAGAACATGTACCTTGAAGCAAAAGGATACCTGCTTCTTCTTCTCTACGAAAACTGGAGGCCAGGGAATCCATTATAGTAACAAAGATTCCATTCGGAAAAGAAAGAAACTAAACCCAACTAATGAGTCTTCGCTCTGGCGGACCCCCCAAAAAAGCCAAAATAAAAGAAAAAAATGTCAAGCAGTATGACTTTAATGGATGTGCTATAAGTTGCATTAACTCAATGACAATATTAAATTCAAAAATATATTTTTATAATTTTTGATATAGCAAATTTAAATATTACATTCAATTCTGGAATAATGAATGAATGTACAAAAAAGTTGCAAATATATGTGTATGCATGTATAAGTCAAAATAAATAAAGAGAAAAATATGCCAAGCAGTATAGCTTAAAAAAAAAAAAAAAAAAAAAAAAAAAAAAAAAAAAAACCAAATCAGCTAATAAATTAAATAACTTGAATGAAAGATAAATTTATGTTTAAAACTAAAACCCAAATTATGGTGCTATAAGCTGCATTAATTCAGTAATATTTATTAAATTAAAATATATATTTTTGGAGTTTCTGATGTTTTAAACCTCTGACCAGCACTAGATTTCACCAAGAAAGCCCAAATTTCTGAAAACTGCCATGAGAAAGAGGTATTTTCTTGACTTTAATGCCCAAATATCCGGTAGTTTATACCTGGATTAATGTAGTTTTAACATATTGCTTTAATTTCTTGAACATGTTTCATTCAAGATGAAAGTATATATTATGTTCTTACCGACATCACAAAAGATTCTCTAGGCCAGAGGGTTAAGCAAATTCAAATACAGTACAAGTCCGAGATCCCAACGCCCAATACCCGGAACGATCTAAAATCCGGACCTCAAAACCACTAACAACTATTTTTTTAAAATGCTTTACGTGTGCGCATTTGATTCCCCCCAGTAGATAAAACATGTAAAGAGTTCTTTCGGAACTAAATAAATACCTCATTATTGAAGAAGCAATGATTTAGTATAAATTTGTGTGATCAATAATTTTGCTCGGTAGCTGCATATCTGCTTGGCATACATCTCAAACCAAAACGTTGTAAGAAACATCATTGATTTTACACCTCCAGATATTTTATATCCCCAACGCCAACCTAGCGAATCATTATTTATTATATTTTGCTTTCATCACTGCATGTTTATCAACAACATGACAACTTGAGTAATGACGCATGCAGTAATGCCCAAACTTTTTTTTTTTTTTTTATATTGGTACAAAGATTATGGTAACCTATTATGTTGATATCCCGCTTAGCAAAGATTACAGATTTAAGTTAAACGCGCTAAGAAATATTGACAAGGAAAAATTTTTTAAAAATTTCTTTTCATGTGCTGAAAATAGATTTTGTCAATGATACTCATAGACCAAAAAATTACATTTAGTGCTATTTGAATTAAAAACAACTGATTTGGAATAATGAATGGATGTACAAAAAAGTTGCAAATATATGTGTATGCGGAGCTTGTATGGTCGCAACACGCGGCAGAATTTAGGGCAGACAAGAGTTTTGGAATTTAGAGAAGCACCGAGCAACAAAATTAAAAGGCAAAAATATTTTTAGAACTTAGGGAAAGCACTGGGATCCAAAATTTAGAACTTAGGGAGGCGCTCGGTAGCAGAATTTAGGACCCGCCGAGATTGCATGAGGCAGTAAGATATCTAGTGTTAGCCCTCGACAAGCCTTAAGTATATGTGGGAATTTATTTATTCAGGATCCAGATAAGTCTTAAGCATGTGCAAGAAATAGACATAAGCATAATAAATAACTAAACTAATACAATTACACTTAATTGTCTCAATGCACAATAGAAGCAAGACAAAATTTAGTGAAACAACATGTCTTTCGTCCCCAATCTTACAATACGTAGCCAATAATGTATAGCAGAAGCCATCAAGCTAGGCTAAAATTATACTTTACTGATTCCAAGGAATTTCAGCTAATAGCAGATTGCACTGTTCCTTAACTTTCTGATTTGATTCAGCTTAATCATTTTTTGTAGGCTGTTTTTAATTACAGCAATTTGATGAAAATTAAAGTTTCAACTTTCGATCATGTCAAAAAGAGTTTTTAATTTTGGAGCTGCAGCAGGATCTATGAAGAGAAAGCATGTTTCGATGCAAATTAACAAAAAGTGAAATTGCTGCAGAAAAAGGATAAAGGTATATTCGTCTCAAAATTATGCGAAGAGTACCGCACTGGAGAGTCTACAGTATATGACACAAGAAAACAGAAAAAGGAACTTTTTGAATATTTTGTGGCTTCTGACACCCCGCTCGCAAAGAATAATAGAAAAATTAATCGTTATGCTAAAAGTGAAGATCGTGACAAAGTGATAATTGAATGGGTCAGACAGCAGTGCAGTGGGGACGCTCCATTGACAGATCAAATGTTAATGGCGCAGGCTAAAATATTTCACTAAGAAATGAGCTTAAAAACTGAGTGCACATATTTGACAGGTTAGTTAGCCAAATTTAAAAATCACCATGGTTATAACGCAATTAAGAATTTCAGATAAAAAAGCTACAGCTGATACTGAAGCTGCTGAACTATTTCCTATGAATTCTTTGAACTTCTTATAAAAGTTATCTCCAGAACAAATTAGCAATGCTGATGAAACTGTTCTTTTCTAGAATATGTACTGCAAAATACCTTGGCAACATCCATAGAAAAGGCTCCAACTTGTGTCAAAGATTCCAAAGAGAAGCTAAAAATACAGCAGGAATGCACAAGTGTAAACTTTTCGTAATCAGAAAAAACACACAATTTTGAGCATTTAAACGAGTAAAAAACTTTCCCATTATGTATCGTGCAAATAAAAGAACACATATGATACAAGTGTTAATAAATGATTCTTTTGAAAGTCATTTCATATTCAAGGTTCGGCAGAATTCGGTTGGTTTACCTGATGATGCAAAAATTGTCCTGATTGTAGACAACTGTTTGGCTCATACTTCACTTAAATTTTAGTTAAAGATAATGTATCTGTATTATTCTTTCCACCAAATTTTATATCAATCATTCAGTTTATAGATATCGGAATAGTGTGCATGTTGAAAGACTCAAAAAGGAGCCCAAATAGTAGTAAAAATTTATTTGAAAAAAAAAATGCTTTTTATTTCTTATGCAGAACATATAAATTTTGATTATAAGGACTATTCATAAAAACAATGAAACATTTTCACAAATAATCATTGTTAAAATAATGCAAAAATACATACCTTTTATTCCAGCCACTGTAATGTATGAAATATTTTACATTTTTATCTTTCACTTGAGATTTCATGCACTATATATATTTAAAAAAAAAAAAAAAAAAAAAAAAAAGGGAACATTAAAATATCACAGTAATATAAATGAATTTAAAATTAAAATATCATATTAAAAATTGACTTTCATAATGCATAAACGATAATTTTGAGAAGGAAAAACTTTCAAAATTAATCTATTCCATTCACACAAGGCTTGACAAAATAAAACCACACATTACTTTATTTTAGGGTATTAACAAAAATCCATGTAAGTCATCATCCTTATAAAATAGTATTAAAAGAATTGATTAAATTAGCCTAACATGATCAGTCAATTCATGAATGACTAGAGAGTGTACCTCATGCATATAAATACTTCAGTTATGTGCAAGTCAAAAAGAATTTTTTTTCAATATAAAAGTGTTTTAAGAAAATATGTTTATGGTTATTTGAGGTATGGTTAAGCAGTTTATTCAAAATAAGTAATAATAAGCTAGATTAACTATGCTTACTTAATATGCATTGGCTTTGAATAGTTTTTTCTAAGAATAAGCAAAATTGCAGGTTAAAGTGCTCAAGAATACAAATCAAAATACACAGAAATATGTAGATAAATCCCTTGTGCAACAGTTCCCAAAGAAATAAAATGAGAAAAATATCCAGAATTAAATAGCTTTATCCTAATTCAGACTTTTAAGAACAAAATAAGCTTGTGTATATATATTTTATTACTTTTCCATTTTGCCGGCACAAGCAAAAGTCGCCAAAAATGGTACAACAGATGCCAAACGGAATTTCCTCGCTGGTAACCTTTTACGCTTCATTTTCAAAACAAGTTACAGCCATTTCTTACCAGATTGATTGTTTCTTTCAATACTGGCATACAATTACATAGAATTTTAACCAGATAGTTCAATTTTATGCTCTAAGGCCATTCACAGTAATTATGTCAATTAAGATGCAATCACACCGCTCACCCGAAGGCGAAAATACAGTCAAGGGTTAAATTCACCAATTGTAACGAGAATGCACTAGTGAAGTAAAGCACTGTGGTTTCACATAATTTCTGAATAAGCTATTCGTACGAATTGAAATAATTCTTGCATTTAAACTTGTAATCCAAATTAAGATTTAACTTGAAATTAACGTAGGTAATTACTGAGAAAATTAGACTTTTGTAGCGTAGTTTGCATAAGATAGGATCACGTGATATAAACCGGCAAATCAGGATGATGAACCATGAAAGCATAGTAAATTATTAAATTAATATCTTCTTACAAATTTATTGTCTTTATTTATTGGCTTTTTACAAAATTTTAAACGATATTAAAATGGTTATGCCTCCAAAATAAAAAAAATCTGAGAACTAACATTTGTTAACATTTTTTGGCTAATCTTTGGAATATGGTAACAGGTAGTTTGGCGACATTTTGGCAAGGCAATAAAGGTTACTAGCTAGGACTTTAGCATTGTACATGGATGAAGTCAAGAGTGTGCACAATGCCATTTTTGTGCAATTCTGGGATGTTTTTTTAAGTGAAAATATGTCGACGTGTACATGGATGATACCATGTATGTGCAATTCTTAAAAACGCAGCAAGCAGTGGATGATTCTGCACTTTCTCTCAATTTTGCACCTAATCTTCGTCATGATTAAGCACTTTTGTTCCATAAAAGTTCTAGCATAAGCGTAATTCGGCTAGCAGATTGTTAGAAAAAATGCTGAGTAAAAAAAAAAAAAAAAAAAACATGCCTTTACTTTGTGAAAACAAAATGGTGTTAAAAAAAAAAAAAAAACTAGCAGGTTGGTCGCCAAAAAATCACCAAGTTACCATAATCCAAAGATTAATACATTTTTTATGTGTATACTGTATGTTGTCGCCATTAAAGTTTGCTTGACAAGATTTGTGCCAACAAAACTGAAAAGTACTGATATTTTTATAGATTTCTTTTTGTGTAATGTAAATATGACCCGATTAACTTAACCCTCATAATGTATACTGTTGTAAAAAGTAAAAAAAATCACACATTTTCTGTTCAATTGCACTTTGACAATACAAAATCCCTATTTCTTTACTTACATCTTATTAACAGTTTTCACCAGTTTAGTCAACTGTAATTATGAGAAACTGGTGGCCATTTATCCTGATTTACTTTTAATTTTTATATATGTGAATACTTGCAGTTTCTCTTCATTATAATTTTAAAAGACAAAAAAATATTTTTATAATTCTAACAGATAAAGACCATAAAAATGGAGAGGGGCAAGGGAGAGGAAGAAAAGATAAATATTTTACTCAGAATGATGAAAACTTGAATGTATAAAATGTGGAATGAAATAATTAATAGCAGTGACTCTGAAACAGTCTTATCTGATGATAACTGAAAGGAGCTGCTATTTAAGTAATGATATTATAACACATTAAAAAGCAACAATAATAAGAGTGTTCTAAAGAAAAGTCCAGGACTAAAACCAATCACTTTAGGACATTTCTGAAGAAAGTAAAACCTTTCAAAAGTAAACCACAGCAATACAATAGGAAAACAATGAAATGCACAAACATCTACATTAAATATATATATATTTGATTTATAATACCATCCATTTCTATAGAATTCTTAAACAGAAAATAGTTTCATTATGTCCTCAAAACAATCATATATGTTTTACATCTAGATATTAATATAAACCAATTACTTAAAATTCACAAATAAACAAAAACTAAATAACATTACATTATGAAGAAATATAAATATGGAAACGAATACTACAATAGTTAATTTTGTATTCATTGCAAAAAATGTCACTCAAGTATTCATGTAACAAAACACAACACACATGGGAAGGTAAAAAAGTTGACTAAATACAATCTCACGAGGTACATGGTCACAACATACTCTTCATATATCAACCTTATTCACTGCAGAAAGCTTGTAAAATATATTATTCTATGCATATTACATCTACATTTTATGTTAAAATTTGCTTTCTTAAGATATCAAAAGAAATCACATAACTTTAAAAGGAATTACAAAGTTTTATATTTGGATGAAATAGATATTAAAAATACTTCACCTATGAGATTTTACTAGCCAACTCTTTTTAGATTTATTTGCAATACACTTGTTAGCTACCATAACAGAATTATGTTTTGAAATCTACAAAATATTTAATTGTAAAAATTAATCTGAATTTATTATATTTTAATATTTCATCTGTAAGTAATGAAGTTATTAACCTTTCGATTCCAGCTTATTTCCTTATCACTTTCATTCTTATATTGATATTTTTTACACTGAAGACATGAATATTTTAGAAAAAAATTAACAGCTTAATATTCCGCGCAAAAAATATTATATGATGCAATGATCAACTATCACATACCTTAGCTTCATATAAGAGGGGCCCATGGAAACATAAAACCTTTTCACCTATAAAGAAATATTACATGGTATATTTGAAGATATTAAAAATACATTTCACATTGTTATGGTGCAAATACATAAAACAATCCTCATGTATATGTCAAGTAAATTTACACTGTAAGGCAGGAAAAATAATGTTACGGTTCTACCACAAAAATTTTAATTATCATAAAATTCACAAACCATCACTAAAACGAAATTTCGGAGCCATCAGAAAAAAAAAAAACTAACGAATCCGCACTTCACACCAGACCGGTGCAAAAATCTACATAAACCGCTCGAGTTTTGCGCTTTCCAATTCTGCAAACCAAATAAATTACAATTTTAATTTTAAGTAAAAAGGTGTATTAAACATGACTGAAATTTTAAATAAGATTATAAATACTAAAAAGTCATTAGAATCAATGATTAAGTTTAAGTTTTTTTTTTACCTCATGTGGTATATCATTACTGCATATAAGAACAGCCAAGCCACAGACCAAATCCGAAACTAAATATTTGTGATGCAGCAAGACCTGGACAAAGAATCTCTAAGGGGCCTGGATGCAGGAAGCGAAGTTGGCATAATTGTAATTAAGAGATTTTGTATTTTGATGTTTACATAACTCGGCATGGTGCATTATTACGATAGTTTAATTAGGAATTTCCGTGAACTCAGTGTATAATGCTCGACCAGAGACCAAGCACATCTAAAAATTCAGAGATTTCTAATGCTGATATTCCTTGTGTGGATCAAAATCCTGTTCCAGGAACTGTTGTTAATCATAAAACTGTAAAAAAAGCGGGGAATTATTTATTAGGTAAAATGTATCCCGTAACAAATTGCTAGATCTCTAGAGGAATTTTTATTAAGTGTTTGTAGGTTAAAATGTGTCATGCTTTCAGTCTGAATTGTTGATAATATCTATTGTTCCTTGAAAGGAAATGGGGCAATATTTAATAGTTAAGAACAAAATGTTTTGTTTAGGATTTGTTGTTTTATGGTATTTTGAGTAAAATCACTGATATAAAATGCTTGAAAAATCCAAAAAATTTAATATTTGTATTTGTGTCATTTTTGTTACCTGTAATTAAAGAAAAGTGTACGATTGATTTTATATTCTGCTTACATCACTTTTACTGGTAACCTGCACACTGAATATTGAAAGGAAATTATATATGCTTTAATATCGGCAAAAATAATCTGCTAAAATCAGAAGCAATTTTGTTTCTGACATGTACAAAATTTATGTTCTCAGGTCCTCTGCTTCTATTCAGAACAGAAAAATTAATGCCTAAATTTCATTAATGTAATTTTAATGTACTATCAAAGTTATAAACCAATAAACAACAAACAGTTTTACTGTGGGAAAAAAGTGATCCATTGATTGTAAAGAGATTCCCCTAAGGTCTTAATGGTCATAATAATTAATTTTGTCATATGGTTTGGGTGGCAAGAAATAAAGATAAAATTTTATCCAGTTACTTTAAATATTTTACCATTATTAATTTCAATTTAAGGTTAAGCAATATTCACTGCTAATGATGCAAAGTAAAAAATATTAAGATGCAAAATAAAAAATATTAATCTATAGCATTTATATTTTTTATTTTGCATCATTAGCAGTGAATAACTACTGCTAAAAAAGATTTGGGCTTGTAACAGTCTTTAAGAATTGTTCAAGTTTGAATATTTATATGCTGATTTTTGATGACCATTAAAAATCAATCTGAGAGCAAAAGAATAATTATAATTTCATAAGATGAAAAACCTGTGTTTTTAATTGATAAAAATGTCATGTTCATCAGCATAAAGGTCATTGCTGCCGACTCTCTATGGTAAATCACGAAATCTCCATTAATTTTTGATTAATTATGATGAATTAAAGTGCCTTTCTCAGCAATAAATGAAATTCATTAAATTAGTGAAACTTAAATGAGATAAATTCATTCTACCTATAATGATTTTAAAAGTAATTTTTCTTTTTAAACCATAGTTCATTTGAACAGTATTTTTTCCTTAGTATCTTGTTTGATCTTATTAATTTTCATTTGACCTGAGTTATATTACTCTTCTGAGTTTAATCCTAGTATCTAGTGCACACGGGATTTGGCTACTTTTGGCGACTTTATGATGAGCAGTAAAAACGGGACATATACGATGAGTAGTTAAGATGAGTAGTTAACGGGTCATTCAAAGAAAATATGTTGTTAAACATAGTATATACTATGTATATAGTATATATACTATGTGTATATATACATATACTATGTATGTATAGTATATATATAGATGTTCTTTGGATCATTTTTGGTGTTGGCGATAATTTTCAAAGTCGCGCCAAGGCTGCACCGTAAACTAGGATTTTACCCTCTTCTGTAGATATTTTTAAATTTTTATATGAAGATTCAAATAATGTTTATCATTTAATATTTGCATTTGTTTAATTCAATATATGGTACATTACTAAGTTTATACATACAAATACTATATACATTAATTATTAATTTTATTTTCATTTTAAAATTATTATGGAAGTGTAAGAATAAAAGTGTAAGAAAATTAACAAATGAAATGAGCCGAAGATTATAAAATTTAGTATATAATATTAATTGTTAATATGTTTTATATCAGAACTGAATTATAAATAGTTCAGTGCTTGAACCATGCATTATAATGTGAATTAAAGCCAATTTTTAGTTCTTTTAAAATGGTGTCACCACACGGCTTAAGAAGCCTCTCCTGTTCTTCTGCTTAAGATTTCAAGGTTGCCAGCTATGAAAGGTGTAAATTCAGCACCTACTTACCATTTCAGAGAGTGCTTCCTTTTGAAATGAACCATAATTTATTTTTGGATATACTGTACTGTAGTTGTGTTAGGGTTTTAGAAGTTGAACCTTTTTTCCTTAAAATATGAATTCCAAACTAACATTTCTGTCCAAATGGAGTTTGAAAATTATCTGGAATAATGTATTGAAAAGTTTCAAATAGAAATTATGTTTATTTTTCATTGGCTGTTTATCCTTCAGCCTTAATGGACTATCATATCATTTAATTATGCAATGTAAGTAGAAGTAATAAATGCAAATGTAAATGCTTTGCTCATCATTCTAAAATCAGTAAATAAGTTATATTTTTATGTCATCCCTACAGGATGACATAAAAAATATATTAGAAGATTAGTTCTTTAATTTGGATGTTTCTCCACTCTCAGAAAAGATTAGTTCTTTAATTTGGATGTTTCTCCACTAGCAAGAACTAACTGCTAACTGTGTTTCACAAGGGATCCAAATAAGAACTAGGAAATCCATTATAAAGTAGGATTTTATATAGTTCATCCATAATGAGAAGAGACTTGGCATCACCTGTTAGGAAGAAATGTTTATTTCACTGCAGGGAGAGGTACAGAAAATCTATCCAAAGTTGCAAATGAGTGAATTCCAGTTCCATTGCTATAGAATGTGTAATATTAGTCACAGTTTACCTAAATTAAGATTCTGGTATCATCTGATATTATTGGCATGGCCAAGTCTGTTCTCATGGTGGACAGACTATATTTCTCATATTAAATGCTGTTTTTGATAGAGGCAGTTTTGTTTCTTTTGTAATTACTATCATTTCTAATCATGATATTGTGATTTTCTTTGAAGTCATGTAAGATTGTGCTTTTGATGTATTTACAAAGGAATTTCTAGTACAGTCAAAAGTCGTTAATTCGGACACCCATAATCCGGAATGATCTATAATCCAGACCTCAAAGCTAAAATCTTTTTGCGCATGCGCCGCATTGACACATGCTCATAGGCGTTTTACGCGTGTGCGCAATACATTTACGACTGCGCATATGCGTCTGCGCAAGCGCAGAATACGTTTTCGCGTGCGCGTTTAATGTATAACGAATGGTGTAAGATAAATTATCTAATTATGTATTTCAGTTAATGTTGATGATTGTGTTGTTCCTTAATCTTCCAATTGGACCCGGCTTATTATTTTTTGCAGACTGTAAGAGCAATTTTATAAAAGTAAGCTTGAACTTTCGATTATGTCAAATAGAATTTCCGATGCTGGAGCTCCCAAAGGATCTAGAAAACGAAAGCATGTTTCGATGTCCATCAAACAAAAAACGAAGTGCTACAAAAAATGGATAAAGGTATATCCCTTGTTTATCTAACTGTTCCGAAATCTGTTTATCAATTTCACGCTGCTCTGCGCGGAAGGGGGGGGGACGTTGCCGCGCGCAATGAACTGGAAGTTGATCTGTCAGCACTATCGTTATCTTCAGGGCAGATGTTTTTATTTTATTCCACTTATAATTCCTTAGTAAATGTAGTATTTAATCTCGATGTACTCTGTCTTTGATATGATTTAAATCAAATTCCTCGTCATCATAAATATCACAAATACAAATCAAATAGTTTTCTGGTTGCAATTTTCTAATTTCGGCTATACGTAAGGTACACATGCACGTGTGAAAGAAATGTTTAATAAAGTAAACAAATAAATATTAAGCTTCTTTTTTTGTAAATTTTGATACCCTTTAGATCATAATTGCTCATTATTTTATAAATTACGGTTTCATATTTTTAATTTTATAATTTCTGCATGCCATCTTACCAGAGTTAAACTGATGATCTATAATCCGGAATCGCCGAAGTCCCGACGAGTCCGGATTAAAGACTTTTGACTGTATCTAGTTTATATCTTTTGATTACAGGAGCATATGCTATTTGATACAAATTGTAAAAGGATTGCGAACTTATTATAGCCTAATTTCTGTATTTCTTTGATAATAGAACACATTTATTCTTCATCAAATTTTCTCTAAGAAGAGGACTCGTCATAGAATATCGTAAAATCATAAAACTGCATTTTGTTCAGTATTTAAATGAATGACATCCTTTACAACCAGGACACAACATTAGCTATGTATGCAAATGATACAGCAATTCTTGTGCGAAATGCACTTCTTAGCTCAGTAGAACAAGTAAAGTACAAAGTCCGAAGTCCGGACTCGTCAGGACTTCGGCAATTCTGGATTTGGGATTTTTCCAGATATTAGATCATCAGTTTAAATCTAGTAAGATGGCATGTAGAAATTATAAAATTAAAATTATGAAATTGTTATTTAGGAAATAATGAAGTATTTATGACCTAAAGGGTATCAAAATGTAGAGAAAAAAGCTTAATATTTATTTGTTTACCTTATTAAACATTTCTTTCAATGTAAGTTGTTTCGATTTTTGTGCTAAGACTTTCTCTTTAGTTCCGTAGACAGACATAATCAGTGACATTGTGTAATCACATGTATTATTTTATGATAATGTACGACATTATCATAAAATTCACAAATCATCACTAAAATGAAATTTCGGAGCCATCAGAAAAAAAAAAAAAAAAACTAACAAATCTCCACTTCACACCAGACCGGTGCAAAAATCTACATAAACCGCTCGAGTTTTGCGCTTTCCAATTCTGCAAACCCAAATAAATTACAACATTAATTTTAAGTAAAAAGGTGTATTAAATATGACTGAAATTTTAAATAAGATTATAAATACTAAAAAGTTATTAGAATCAATGATTAAGTTTAAGTTTTTTTTTTACCTCATGTGGTATATCATTACTGCATATGAGAACGGCCAAGCCACAGACCAAATCCGAAACTAAATATTTGTGATGCAGCAAGGCCTGGATGGATGCAGGAAGCAAAATTGGCATTATTGTAATTAAGAGATTTTGTATTTTGATATTTACATAACTTGGCATGGTGCATTATTACGATAGTTTAATTAGGAATTTCCGTCAACTCGGTGTATAATG